CCCCAAAACCCCAAAACCCCAAAACCCCAAAACCCCAATAAAATTTATCAAAATTGAAAGAAGATGGGTGTCCAAATTCTTAACTTGCTAATACCAGTCTCATTAGAGGGATATATTTCTATGCTCACTTTATAATTGCTCCTTTGGTATTTAAATAGATTCTTCTGAAGTTTTAGTTTTTTATAGTCTCTAATTTGTATACTAGCTTTACACCAGAAATCATCCAGATAATAATCAGAGAAATGTTATATGATGCAACTGAATATAGTAAATACACGAAAAGAGTATTAATTCTTGAGTGTAGGAAAGAGTAAAACTGCACAATAAATACCCTTAAAATATTTGATACGGCTAAAACTTGGATAAATTAACGCCAAATTGCTAGAATTTTCCTATAATTCTAACACCTCCCAATCCTCTCTCTTTCAAAACTTTCTGCACAAAAGGTCTCTCCACACCTGACAACATCAGATCAATATCTTCCAAAGTCTGTCCCAGATCTGATTCTGAAATAGCTTGAATAAAACCTTCAAACTTTTCAGGCTGATTCTCCCAATTGCTCTGACTCGCATATCCACACCCTCTTAACCCCAGAAACTTTACACTCGTCTTAGCTAAACATCTCTTTAAGTCAACTTTTGGTCCATGCTCCATCTTTCAGGCTGTAAACTTCAGAATCTCTACTTGTCTACTAGCTGATAGGAGGACCTTCAGACTACGTTCAGGTAAGATAAAGTTAGAATATTCCATCTCTTTAGTCACCCTGTGCAGGACTTTAACAAGCAGAGGGAGATTGGCTACTGGAGAAGTGTTGGAGAAGGCACAGGATATGGTAGCGGTAGGGATCTGGGAAGGAAGGGACTGGTGGATGGGGAGGGAGCAGGGGTAGTTGAGGATGTGGAGGTTGGTGAGTGAGGAGTAGGGGAAGACAGTGGTGGTTTGGAGGAGGAGGGAGGGTTTGGGGGTTTTGAGGTTGAGAGAGAGAGTGGAGGAGAATTTGAAAGCGGCTGTTGGTCCTAAGAATTTGTGATGGTAATGGGAGATGGCGGTAGTGTTTATTTTGTGAACTTCTTTTTGGATTTGAAGATCTATTTATGGTTTTGTGAGCTTTTAGGATAAATAGTAGTGTAAATTTTCAATAAGGACATAAAATATAATAAAATCTACCTTGATTTTGACTCTCTAGTATTGATGAGTGTTGATTAGGATCCTTTAGTTTAGCATTTATAAGCTGGCTTCAAAATATCAGATTTTTAACAATGCTCTTTTCTCAAAAATTCTCTAACATTACTTTAAGATCTATTGCTCTTTGAAGGTATGGGTGCTCCATATGTCTAGGAAGAGAGTTTCAAATATAATTCAATTTTCTACGAGTTTTCAATAAAGAATCAACAATTTGAGCTACCCTGATAGGAAAATCTTGTTTCTTCTGGCATCCATATCTTTCAAACTCATTCTTACTTTCCCAAAAGATATCTTCCAACTCCTCAAGCCTTCTCTCAACCAATTCCTCATCACTCAAAGCCTCATAACTCTTCCACACATCTGAATTTATTTCACTCTTCTCCACACCCACCTTCTGCATTACTGTTTTCTTCCTAATAGCTTTCTCCATGATATTCAAATAAATACCTAAACCTCGGGGTTTTGGGGTTTTGGGGTTTTGGGG